TCAGAAATTTACAAAACAGCGCAAACTCTCTGAAAAAGAGTCGGATATCACAGACACTGAAAATAAGGTTTGTGTCGAAACATTGTTTTTGTATTTGAATTTTAATTTGTTTTAATTATTTTTAATTCGATATATTTTGTATTTATTCCTATTATGTGTTCACTGTATAGATATCGCAGTCTCTGATCTCATTTGTCGTAATATTTGGGGTGTTTTATTTGATTTATGTATTGTTAACAAACATTATCTAACAACGAAAAACAATAATGTAAATTATGTCTGTAATAATTGTGATAATTTTTATAAATTATTATAAACAGAATGTAAATTCAAATCTAATGACTAAATGACTATAAATAAAAATAATATATTGTAAATATAAACTTACGGTTTATCATATTAAAATATTTATGAATAAGGTAGTTAACATGATATTATTATAACATAATGAACATGTTTATTTACTATATATGACAACAAATAACAATATAAAAAATTAATTATTATTACAAATGAAAGAGTGATATTAAAACCGTAATTTAATATGTGTTTCACTTTTAAAACAAATTAGCATAGTAAAACAAACACTACATGATTAACTTACAACAATAATATCATGCAACATCATTTATATTAAAAAAAACTTGTTTATAAACAAAGGCCATGGTCAAACTGTTCTTAATGTACCCGTATTGCTATAGTGAATATAAGTTTTATCACTAACAGGATTAACATTGTTCAATCGTAAATTAGTGAACAAGGTCATATCAATCATCAATTAATTTTATTTGAGTGAAAACATAAGTATAAATATAAAAGTGTTGTGGGATTTATCATTCAATTGCAAACTTAAACCCAAATATTTTCAAATATTTCTCTTTTAGTATAATATAAAAGTATTTAAATTGTGTATTAATTATGTCTTTATTAACGCAATTAATCTCATTATTATTCAGTGATTTGAGTACAACTATTATAACATTAATAATTGGTTACATAGTGTATAAATTAGCTAAATTTTATTACACACGGTATAATCTGCCGCCCGGTCCACATCCTCTACCTTTAATTGGCAATATATTATGTAAGAAAACAAATTTACATTTATTTAATATATTAATTACAAACAATTGAAAGTTACATAGGAGTATAACAATTAATATAATGATGATAAAATTAGTGTTTAGATGTAAAGACAATCCGGACGAAGTGTTCCGGCGGGTGTCCAAAGAGTACGGCCCGGTATTCACCCTATGGTTTGGGACAACACCGCAGATATTCGTGACGGACGTCGAGCTGTCCCGCGAGGCTCTCCGCAAAAATGACTTCGCCGGACGAAGCGATTCATATTTTGGTAAATAAAGCATATTTTATCAATGCATATTATTATTTACATATTATTTATTTATGTTATATATTAGTTATATTTATTATATTAGTTATATTATTCATAATTATTTATTATTTATTAAGTAGGATATTTTATAATATAAATATGATTATATTATAATTTATTCATAACTCATTTAATTTAAGCTATAATTATTAAACTGGCATTACAGGCAAACAGTTGTCAAACGATGAATTCAGCGATATCATTTTTGCCGATTACGGTCATAAATGGGAAGCGTTAAGACGTGTGGCCCATTCAGCCATTCAGTATGTATAAGTTAATTCAGTTATATAAATGTCTATATTAACACGAGTTTAAAATATTTACATAAAAAATTAAGGAAATATTCGACTAATGAAAGGCTTATCTCTGTGGCCACCGATTCAGTCGATCGTACGGTTAAAGCCATGTTAGACAAGGAAAGAGTGGGCAATGCTTTTGATCCCCGGAGTTATATCTATTTAATGTTTCTCAACATTTTGGCCACCAGTGCTTTCGGACAGAGGTTTTGATACATATAAACTAATAGTAAATTAATTAATGCATAACTTTATTAATGTAACTTTAGTTATGATATGGAAGACGAGGAGTTTAAATACCTTAAATATGGTATGAAAGACCAGGCCATGGAAGTCGGTGGCCGAATATTATTGTGGGAATTCTCGCCAATTATTAGATTCATTGATAGAAAACGAGTGGCAAAACAAATGAAGGTTACGAGAGGTGTCATTGATTTACTCAGAAATAAGTTTATAAAACATTACGACGACTATAACGAGTCAATTGAGAGAGACTTTTGCGATGCACTCATCAGTGCTAAGAATGACGCCCTCAGAGACGGCAAAGAGTCGGCCCCTTATCTCACGGACGCCAACCTCGGAATGAGTGTTATGGACCTGTTTCTCGCCGGAACAGATACCTCGCAAATGACTTTCCAATGGATAGTACTTCTGATGACATACTATCCGGAAATGCAGCAGAAGTTGAGACAAGAAATTGAGTCCCAAATCGGAGACCGAATGCCAACACATGAGGACAGGAATCGATGCCATTATGTCATGGCTTTCATCACTGAGACACTGAGATTCAGAAATGTCGCCCCGTTTGGTGTCCCACATAAAGCTGTGGTCAGGAGTACAATAGGTGGGTATAATATTATTTCTGTAAAAACATTAAATTTTATTTTATTTTTTAGGAAATTATACAATACCTGAAAATATGGGAGTTTTCATATACCAGGGAATCATATGTCGTAATGACAAGGATTGGGAAAATGCCTATGAATTCAAACCCGAGAGATTTATTGATAGTGAGGGACAGTTCATCACAACCCGTCCCAAAGCATTGATACCCTTCGGTGTGGGCCGTCGTGTCTGTCCGGGAGAGAAGTTAGCCATCGCTGACCTGTTCCTGGTTTTGGTCCGATTTCTTCAGTCCACACAAGACTATGATATAGTCCTCGACAGTAACGGTGGTATAGATGCGGATCCCAATAATGCCAATGAATATGCTCCAATTGAATTTAAAGTGAAATTCATGAAAATATAAAGTTTTATATTGTATTTATTAAAAACAATAATAAGATAATGATTGTACTAAAATTAATAAATAACTAATATTAATAACGAATAAACAATTTTTTAAAATTTATCTAATTTTTAAATCTCTTTCTATAATTAAATTAATTATGTGGTTTTTAATACAGCTGTTCAGGTATATTTAAATGCCTTAAAAATGTGTATTAATAATAGCTTTATAAATATTGAGTTAATATTATTAAACTTTTAATTCTTAATTTTTATTCATTGCATTTTAATTTCATTAACATTTAATTTTATTTAAATAATTTGCAGTAGTATTATAAGAAGTTTTATATTTTATAATTATAAATATCAATATGTTAATAACAATTTTTAAAAATTATTAGTTATCCAAAGTAAGATTTCCATATATTTTCATAATTACATCCGTACGGGTCGTGAAGTGGGGGTCGGTTTGGGTCGGGGTTTAAATCCTTCACTTTCGGTACATTCGGATCACTCAACAGTTGCGGCCATTTGTTGTCCGGTTTGCTATCAAATGGGAAAAATAATAATTTAAATTTTTTGCAAAAATTAAAATGTTTATAAATACATGCAAATAAAATATAAACTTCATTTTAACTACAAGTATGAAAATTGTATTTTATAATTTGACTATGCCCCCCTCACACACCACCTTTTTCAAATTATTGGAAAGCATTATTATAATATTAAATTTAAACTTCAATAAATATTTACCCGTATTTTGCAAAGTTAGTCCACATCTGCATTACATCCCGACTGAACTGGCGATCTGTTTCAGCAAAAAAGTCTGCGGAGAGAGGAGAGAGCGGTATACCGAAGACAAACGGTATGTCCATTCCGTGTCCGACCGCCGACTCCTTGTCATCGCATTGAAACTGTTTGGCGTAGAACTGACTTTGATATGAGAGTTCATAGAAGTATATGTTATGCCGATTACCAACAGTTGTGGCCATTTGTCGGGCGAAGAGATATGTCGGGTATTTCATAAACAAATCGCCGTAAAATTCATAAAACGCTCGCTTCAGAGCCGGTGTACTACTCGTGTACACACCTTTCAGGTAACAGTCCATCACTTTATTCGCATCTATGCCGTGAAACGTGTCGTCCGATGCCTTAACCCCGGATTCAAAATCAGTTAAAGTGTAAACCTCTTTGTCCTTTGGTATTAATAGCCGGGAAAGGACTGAACCCTCAGTGCTGTTAATGCCCGCCATTAGATCAATGTCTAAATTAAATAATTACTATTAATAACTTTTGTTATTTATATTAAAATTATTTTCAAAAATACAAACCAAAATATAAATTATTGTTATGGAAAGCTTTTTGTGCCGAAAGTGGCAAAAACTCTGTTTCCAACACCGGAAATGTCATTCCTCTGGCTTTTTCCACCAAATCCTTGGCCTCAACTGTCCGTAAATACTGAATCCAATGCATGTCTTCACTCCAACCCAACTCTTTAGCGATACGTTTTCCCTCAGTTATGGCCTCATCTTTACTGATGACATCCCTGTCCTTATTATACATATGAGCGCCGCTCGACATAATAGCCCTTTTAAATAATCCTTTAGATAGTGGGGAGAGTATGTGCGCCGATACGGACCAACTGCCGGCACTCTCACCAAAAATGGTGATCTGATCCCTATCTCCGCCAAACAAATGAATGTTTTCCCTAACCTATTATTATGTAATATATTTACAAAACAAACTTTAATAAAATATCATTAAGAATATTCTGATTAAAACAGGCGATCAATTTATACCCATTTAAGAGCCAACAACTGGTCATAAAAGCCCACATTTCCGGGCGCGTCCTCCCGATCCCCGTATAGGAAACCAAACAATCCTAACCTATAGTTCGGGGCCACAAATACAACGTCGTGTGCGGCCAGTGGTCCGCCGTTGTAGTGATCAATGGATCCAAAGCTAAGCGCTCCGCCATATATCCAAAACATGATTGGTTTGAGTGACTGATTGGTTGTGTTATCTGTGGTTAGAGTTGGTGTCCATATGTTTAGCACAAGACTGTCTTCACTCTGTGTGATGGGAATCGGACTCAAAACCACTTCCTTTTACATACAGCTGTTTCCCGGTTTTGTGGCGTCTATTATACCCTAAATATAGTATTATTAAAATACAAATAATTTGTTATTTAATAAATTAAACAATAACTTACATCTCTGGGCTGTTGAATGGGTTTGGGTTTAGCAAACCTGAGCGCACCGACCGGTGGCTCAGCGTATGGTATGCCTTGAAATTGGTATAGAGTTGTGTTGAGCCTTTCAATCACTTGACCCCTCACTATTCCCGATGTAGTCTTCACATCAATATTTGTTGTCATTTTGTAATTCAGTATAAAATGTCTTGTTTTTATCAAATCAAAGTACAATAACTATTTTTGTTGTTATATTTTTCACGTTTTCAATGAATTTAATTTTCAACAAATCACAATTGATTACTATGATTATTTTGTTATGACACTGAGGGGAAATGTATTGTCGCGGTTAATGTGTGGGAACAATTACTGGTGATGTTGAGCGCGTGAACGTCTGAATACTTTATGGTCAAAATCCGACTTTTATTTACTGGTGGTTGATTAGAGAGTAAGTGTTGTGTGCAAACAATCATTGATTTTTGTACCTCTCTATCCTTGAAGATTAATTACTAATTGTCTTTTAACAAACCTGTTGTACTAAAAAATTTACTTATGATAACTTATCAATATTTTGTTGATGAAAAGTAATGGTTGAACCAAGTAAGCATGATTAAATTTAGTTATATTAATATGAATCGTCTAAACTTTATTAATTAAACAAATCTAGATGATTGATTGTAACTTATAAATAAGTTAATATGTAATAAATTATTTTTAATTGAGATATTTGCGTTTAGTTGAAAAACTTGCTTAATAGTTATTGTACCGAGATAACCTTGGTCGCACAATAGTGATAAATTATCACTGATAATTGATAACCCAATATACTGTATACATATTTAGATATGAAGTTGCATTCTTTAATTCTAGTGCATTAGAGACGGGGCACACCTAAAATGTTGTTCATAGCATTTGTAATTATTTTGATTTCTATCAATTATATTGTCGTTTTCAGGAAGGTAATTTAAGTGTAATTGTGTTGCAAATTGCAATTTATTAACAATAAAATTTAATTTCATAAATGCTTGCAATCTAAAAATAATTTCAACTTTTAATAATAATTAATAAAAGTATTCAAACAAATTATTTCCATAAAATTCTATTTTAAAAATTTAATCTAAATTAATTTTAAAGAAAATCAAACTAAATAATTTTAATAATTTGTAATGAACGGGACTCATGGTTGTGAAAGTTTTGAGTTGGTCATTTTATTTGTACCACAAGTTAAGCCCAATGTATTGTGTGCTATATTGTATAATAGAGATTGAAAAATCTTAAATTTTGTGGTTCGGTATCGTTAGTGTCGCGAGTATTGTCAGTGTCGTTGGTATCGCGAATGTCGTGAGTATCGCGAGTATCGCGAGTGTCGCGACACTAGTGTCGGTATCGTATCGGTATCGCGACACCGATACCGACACTCAGTGTCGCGAGTATTGTATCGCGATACCGATACTCAAATTTCAATCTCTATTGTATAACTTATACACATATTCATTGACAGAAACATAATTATTAAAATTTATATTTTTATTAAACTTAACAATTTTTCGAAATAAAAACTTTTATTTAAATGTCAACATAATATAGTAACAAATAATAATAAATTATTAATTTATTAAAAGTGTATCTATGAATATTTATTATGCCATTTTATAAATTTTATATATAATAATGCGATGAAACATAGAATCTAAAAATAAAATGTAAATTGTTATTTAATTTGTATTAAATTATAAATGAATGGACAAACTTTGAATCCTTGAAATCTATTTATTTTAAATAATTTCCAACAATAAAAGCCAATCTTTTTCTGACCCAAAGCCTCAATAAATGAAGTCAACTAAATAATTAAACAAGGTTAGAATTATGTGGGTTTATTTGTTAAAACTAAATTACATAAATTATATTAATAATTACGTTACCTTAAGTTTTTGGTGAATTGTACCATGATTGCCAATGAACAGGGTGTTAAATAATTTATACGATTTAACAGTTTGATTGTTAAGTATTGCCGAATAGTGTATTATAAATAATAAATTACAAAATACAACAAAACCTACACTACCAGTTGTTAATCTAGATAAAAATATAATTTGTTCACGTGTAGTTACAAACAACAATATTGCTAACAACCACGATATTATTATCCAATATATGGCCAATATTTTTGACCATATTATATCGTTGTCTTTATTAATTTCCAAAATTAATAAATTATACTTTAATATAATGTTTACATAATTTCTGCGAAATTTTTTGATAAATAGTTTGACCTTTTCATTAATTATTGTAATTTTAAGTATAAAATAATATATTATTATTGAAAAATAAATCAATTGCCAAACAAGTAACGAAGTTGCAACGTTAAAAATATATACCCAAATTATGACATTTGGCAACGCTATGTAAAATGGTATTTGTCTTATGATAAATGGCGTTAAATATACGACAATTGAAAAATAAGTCGAGAGTTTTAAAATAATTTGTGTTATATTAATCATACGTTTACTAAATCGTAACAATTTATATAATAGTTGTATGTCTTGAATCCCAATACTTTTGGGTGTTTTCAAACCCGAAAGCATCTGAAATACTCTCAAATCAATTTGTTGTATACCTTTCTTATAATTGATATAATGTATTATTTGTGTTAATAATGGTATTAATGAACATATAATAAATGTCATACTTAATTGTAATCTCATACCCAATAAATACGGTATATCTCCCCAAATAGCGTATGTTTTCTCCTTTTGTTCAGGTATTAAAATAAATACAAATTGTTTAAATACTACTAAAAATAATATTATGAATATAATTAATGGATGTTT